TATTTTTATTAGCTTCTCCTCTGCTGGAAGGCAGGACTGCTAATGCTCAGGTTATACCTATAGTGCCACAGAGGACTTGCTGCAGATGCCAGATTCACATTTTTTAATAAATCCATTTAAATTACAACTTCTGAATTAGTGGATGTCACTGTCTTCACTTTTGGAAAACGTTGTTTCCCAAGAACCCAAACAGAAGAATTTTACTTCTATTTCAATTTAATTCAGCCAGAGCCTCTTTCAAGGTTAATTTAATGTTCTTCTGGTTCTCGCCATGGGAATCTGCTCTGCCTCTGGCTTTTGCCAGGTCCAGCCCTGTTCCCCTGCCTGGGCAGCGCCAGGCTTTTGCCATAAGCCTTAAGAAAACTCTGAGAAACAGATAGGGCATTTTCTGCCAGGCGGAATGCCCTCTGTCATGCAAGAGAAGCACTCCGAGTTAAGGCTTAGGCCGACCTGTGGGAATGGCTCTGACCAGAGGAGCCTGCCAGCTTGGCAGAGATGACGGCGTTTTGAGTGATAACCTGGCAGAGCTTGGGAGTCCTATAATCAGTCAGTCTTTGGCACCATCTGGGAGAGGAGGGCTGCGCGGGTTTGGAGGCAGGATCCAGAGCTGAGGATTTCTGGAAAGCAATAGTGTCATTTGAGTTTCTTCCCTTCTTTACCAACGCTACCCCAGAACTGGCTGGCAGCTGATTTCGGAGCGCAGGGTTGCACGCCGGTTCCCTTCCTGAATGCCAAATTCACCGCCACTTCTGGAAAGGGAGAGTAAACCCAGGAGTTGAACTGGCAGTAACGAAAGTTGCTGAGCGGGCTGGATTGAGATCTGCCACCCCCAGGCTGTTTGAAATTCACTGTGTGTGTACCCAAAGTGCCTGACAGGAAAGGGAAAGGGCCGCTGAGGAGCGAGGTGTGATTATTAGCTGAGCTTCAGAACCTGCAGCTCACTCTAGGAACTCTTTTCACCCCGTACAAAATACCATTTTCTGTTAAAACAAATAGCAGTAGTCAAAAGGGAATCCTGAAACTGTGATGCCCTCCAAGGTAGCCATTACTGCTCCTGCTGAAATAACGAAGCTCTGGAGAGACATTTTAACTTGAGACTATCTTTCTCCTGCATGATAAAGTTGCTCTTTGGATGCGACGGGCTTAAAACAAATCAGAAGCGAAACTCTCAGCCGTATTAAGGACCTGTGCTCCAGCAACTTGCAGAGTACCTGTGAATCCTCTGCTCACGTTGCATGCCTCACTCGCTCCCTAGGAATTCTCTGTAAATCCATAGGATGTTTGGTCAGGGAGAGCAGGAAGGCCCAGCCCAGCTGCTCTGCCCTTTATCTCTCCCTGCAGGTAGCAGAGTGGCCAAGGGACTTTCAGCTGAGCTCTTGCAACTCACGCAGCCCTGCAGAGCAAACAGCTTTGCAAACTGCGCCGGGCTTCGGAGCCGGCGTGCGCCCCTTGCACCGGCCGCTTGGGATCGGTGGAGGAGCTCTTCTTGGAGGAGACTGGAGGGGATCGTAAACCCGTTGGCTGTGGAGTGAGCAAAGCTTTCTTCTGCCATACCGAGCAGAGTCACATCACTGTGATGCCCAGTGTGGTGCTGGAGTAAGAGTCTTGCCTGTGCTCACGTGAGTCCCTGGCAGAGCCAGGATCGTACGTAGCGTCTCCTTTCTCCCAGGTCCTTTCTCTGTCCACCACTTGGCAGGCTCCCCTCTGGGTTCTGGGGTACACCTCGGGTTCCTGCAGCTCAAACCCTGAGAGAAGTCGGGATTCTTCCTCTGTCCCAAAGAGCTGGGTGGACCCTGTGCTGGTGCTTTATCTGTTCTTTCGCAACACTGGGGAAAACCAACCGCGAAGGCAACTGAGTGGAGCCGTGGAGGTCGCACCAGCTTACCGCGCGGTAACTGCAGATCGATTCCATCATCCTCTCCTCCGAGAGACGCTGATCTCTGTCCCCTGTCCCTCTGCACCTAGAACTGCTGTCAGTAAGACGGAGAGCAGCGTCTGTGCTGCAGAGCTCACAGCTCGCCTTGGTGCAGCGGCCACCAGTGGGTTGGTTGCAGGCCCAGGGGTGGCATTATTTGTTTTCAAAGCTCTCGTAAATTGAACTGTGTTTTTATGACACCGTAACCAGAGGCACTTATTGTACCAAATAAAAAGACTTCCATTTGAATTTAATAGACGCAGCTGATTATGCTCAGTGACGTTTTTTATACTGTTGGGTGGATTTGAACTTGAAAACCTTTCCAAACTTGCTGAACTGAGGGCTCCCTTCAGCTGAGTGATGGATCCCCCTGAGCAATGCTTATCATCTGGAGTCCTTTGGAGATCTTACTGTGCAGCTTTAGTCCTGCAGCAGAATTCGTGATACAGGCAGCTGGCTTGCGTTTTTCGGTGAGTCAAAGCAACCATAAAATCAGATATAACAGGGGAGAAGTCACCTAAACACACTGATAAACGTACCCTACTGCTTTCAGTTCCTTGTAACAAGCATAAATATTTTTTGCTTTGGTTACAAGAATACCTTTCTATTCCATTTATTCTGAAATTCCTCCTGCACTTTGTTCTGACAAATAGTCAAACCATTGTTTATTTCCCTTTAAAGTTTTTATTGTCCCTTGCAATGTTTTAGATGTTCCCATCTCTTCTGCAGCACAGCCTACCCAGTGGAGGAATTCAGCTTTTCCGACTGCAGATGAAAACAGGCTTCTGAGAGATGGAATTGCTGAATTTTCCCACCAGAATGGCTTCCCAGCTTTAAAAAGGCAATGCAATTTGTTCGCTGTTCTTTTGATGATGGCTCGGTACTTAATGTCACAGTAGAGCAGAGAAAGAGTCGTACCTCCTCTTAGGCTTCTCAGGGCTTGCATCCATCTGGCTTTCTGGAACCCCCTCCGGGGCTATCCTGGAAACAGAAGTGAGTTTCCTTTGAAGATTTAGTGGTATTGGCAGACCTGCAGTAAGGGACAGACTTTCAGGTGGTCGCAGCTTCTCTTTTAGCTGCATGAGGAAAGGCTCAGCTCTTCAGAACTGCTCATACCCAGCGTCTCTCGGTGATCGTGGTGCTCAAGGAAGAGGAATTCCTCATTGTTTTGGTGGAAGCTGCTGGATACTGAGGAGTTAGGAAAACCTAGTCCTTAGACTGGCAGTGGAAATTTGCTCTCTCTGACTAATGGCTAGGTAACATCGCAGGCTGAGAAATCCCCAGGCACTGACCAGGGCAGGTTGGCTGTGATGACCGCAGAGGTTTCAGAATACAGCAAACCAAGAGACTGCAGCAAGCCCTCCCAGGAGGTCCATTTCCTTCTGGTTTCTCTCCACCTTGTCCAACGCTCTGCTCATTTCTTCCCTTAGCACCAAGCCCCTCTATTGAGTAGTAAAAGGTTCATACTTTTTTCAGAGAACAATGTACACATCTTAACAGCCAGTCCGTTAGTCCTTCAGTGGTTATTTTAATTAACTAATCTGTTCCAAACATCAAGAGCCTGTTGAGCCATCTGGACTGATTAAAGTCACATATTGCATTACTAATGCGCTAATTAAATCCTTCGTTTTGCTCCAAGCCCTAAGTGCATCCAAATGTTACCACTCAAAAGCTGCTTCACACCAACAGCTAGGAGGTTTGAATTTTGCCCGTGCGTTTGCCGTGAATTTTGCTTTGGGTTCGGGCAGGGGTGTGCTGGTGACGCTGGCTGCTGGCACCGCGGGGAAGGGCAGCCCAGGCCTCAGCCGGCCCCGGGGCCGAGCTGGGTTTCTTTGCAGAGCTCTGCAAAGATCTTTTACCGTCTTGTGTGGGCAGACAGCCCCGTCCTGGGGCACTCGTACCCGCAGCTGGGAAGCAGGAAACCTGGCACTGTGGAAATTCCCTAATTACGAGCAAGATTTGGGAAGATCAGAGGCGGTGTTGCCTGCGACAGCCTTCTGGCTGGGTTGCAGAGGCTTTAAACTGTTAGAAATTGAATTTACCAAAGAGGCCGGAATATCTTAGGATGCAAATCACACCCCTTCATCTTTGCTGAAATCTACAGGCCAGCTGGCGGTTGTACCACCGAAACGGCCTCGACTCAGCCTGAGCGCGCGTTTCCTCCCCACAGAAAAGCCCGCGGTAAATGCGCTCCCCCCCCTCCCACCCCCCCCCCCCCCGTTTTGGCCGTGAGTGGAACAGCGAAGGAGACCTGAGGGCTGGCCTGGGGGGGTCCTGGCTGCCGGGACTCCAGCCGCGCCGCTTGCCCAGGCCGCCTGGGAGGGAGGAGGCGGCTTCTGCCGCTCCAGCCAGGCAGCCTTCAGCACCCGACAACCACCACCCGCACGGGAGGTTTCTCCCCCTGCTGTGCCCTGGCTGGAAGGGAGCGTTCCCACCCCCGTACCAGCAGGGTTTATGTCATCACGGAAATCACCTTACAGTAAAAACGTGGGGGGGTTTTGCGCGTATTGTTGACCTGGTGTATGAAGCCATGTTCTGGTTTGGCTTAGGAACCCGTAACTCTCAGGCTCCCGGTTTTATATGGTGTGGGACAGATCAGTGCACCTTCCAGCCAAGAACCTTAACACGCTTGGTAGCTGTTGTGACATTCAGGGACTATATTCTAATGTAAATAGGATAATCTTTGCTTTTACGAGGGAGCTAAGGCACAGGGAGGACAGGTGATTTAGCAGAGAACGGAGAGTTGAACCAAGACAACTTGTCTCCTACCTGGGCGTCTCTCACCATGGCAGCTCACCTCCTCTCTCACCCTCGTGACACCCAGAATCTGGAGTTTTGTAACTCAGCGATGTCCAAGCGTTTAAACGTACGCATCTTGGGGAAAAAGTAATCCAGCAGCAGCGTGTGCCACAAAGGGCGCAGCCAGTTCAGGTTATTGAACGGACAGCTGCGTTTTTCAGGCCTCGTACTTCCAGCCTTCCAGAGGGCAGACAGTCTCGGGACAGTGGTGGCTTTTGAGATGGGCTTGACTGGGCTGGGTTCCCCGCAGCTTCCCCACTGACGGGACTCGTGTCGTTGCTTGCAGGTAAACGGCCACCTGGACTACATGAAGCAAATGGACACGATCCTAAAAGCCGTGGGCATTAAAACCAAGGAGTGCCGGCTGGAAGAGAAGGGCAGCAGCAGTCTTTTCTCCCCTCCAGCCAAGAAATCCCAGCGGGCAGCAGGCAGCGAGACTCGGGCAGAGGAAGGCACCGTGCGAGGGGAGGATGTGGCTCTGCCAGCCGGCCACGCTCGCCGCCATGGTGACCCCAGCTCGGGAGGAACCTCGCTCCCCTGCCCGGCCGGTTCAGACAGCGGGCACGGCCAGGCCGCGGGCGAGGGAGGGAATTAGAGCTCCTCTTGTTGCACGGAAATGCTCAGCCGGCGCTAAAACCGCTTTCAAAGCACCGTCCGTTGCGCTGGGGTTCCCGGAGGAGTATCGCCGGAGCTGGAGCTGCAGTTTTCAGACCCTCCCGAGAGCCTGGAGCGTGGCACCGGCGTGTGGCTGGATCAAAGCGTTCAGAGCAGCCGCCCACGGCATCTCCCACGGAGGAGAAAGGGCTGATTCCTGCCTGATTCAGCACTGCTCCTCAGGAAACGGCGGCACTTCCCTCCTTGCACAAACTGGGTTTATTCCGGAGGGAAGCAGCTGTCACCATTAGGGACTGCGTCTCTGCTGTATAACTCTTGGGAAAGCAGGTGGCTCCGTGGGTATTTCTAAGCGTGTCGTGGAGAGGGGCTCGTCACTAGGAAATTAAAAACGTTCTTCCGCCGGTGGTCGGGTTGGTTTTTGGGTTCCAGGTGAGCCGCAGGCTCTGGCTGCCCAGCTCCGCAGGTCTCGGCGTCCGCGCTTCGGCTCTGCTCATCGGGGAGGCGAGAGGCTCCCCGCTGCTGCAGGTTTGCTGCCAGGGCTTGGGCACCTCCCGGTCGCCGAGACCCTTCCCCTGTCTGCGGGCTGAGGGCGATGAGTGTTTGAGGCCACATTGCTATTAGAAACCCGCTTTGAGTCCCTAGGTGAAAGACAGCAGAAGAAACAGAGTGGGCTTTTTATGATTTATTACTTAGTGAAACTTCCTCTCAGGCTTTGCAAGCCAGCAACCCACAGAGGCTTTCGTTTTGTGTCCCACACACATCTCTAGCCTTAAAAGCCCCCTCTAGACATATTTTTAATCGGCTTAGAATAAAACCAATACTTGGCATAGGATAAAGATGAGTCTGTCTGATTTCTGCCTCCTTCCCGAAAAGCGAATTGGCACCCACTCTCTTCTCCCCGGCCTCAGACCGGAGCGGGGGACCCTGCTTTACATCCCCCGTATGGGCCGATCCACATCTTCCATAAATGGTCCTTTTCTGGCCTATTCCGCTGCTAAGCCCAAGAAAATGCATCTGGCAGGAACATGGCGGGAGGATAAAACCCCTTCTGAGAACACCTCTTGTGCTTTTCTGTTTTACAACAAGTGCCGGGTGCTATAAATCCCATCCCACACCCAGAGCTGGAAGGTCTCGTTGACTCATGTGAGGGGAAACCATGCGATTCCCGCTTCCGATTTCGGTTCACACGGAGTCCTCCTCCCTCCCTGTTCCAGCAGCTACTTTAATAACCACTTCTCCCTTCTTTCCCCAGCCTTCTGCAAACCTTACCTGCAGGTTATTTCTCACGAAGTCGACCACGCGGCCGTTTCTGGGGGTGGCAGCCTGACCTGGCCACGCGCCTGGCGTCCCCCGAGACGGGCCACGGGATCCCACAGCGACGGGCCCGTCCGGGAAAGGGATCCCATTTCCCCACCGCGTCAGAGGATTTGTCCAGCAGCAAACAAACACCGCATCACAAAGAATCAGCTCGACGAGGGAGGGAACTATTATTGCTTTTGAACACCCAGCGTGAAGAGGCGGTCCCTCTTTGTCCATCTCCCGAAGCCTCTGTCCGCTCATTTGGAACCTAATGGAACTTTTGAAGTTCACCGTGTATTTTTCTACTCCTTTTTAACTGGAGTTGCAGTCAAAATATGGTTTTATTTAAAGCCATTTGTGGAAAGATGTACGCATTTATCTTTGTGCTTGATACCAAACGCCAGCTCTCTGTCCACAGGTATGTGGCAAAAATGTACTGAGCGGTTTGATGTTTGAACCTGCGCTCAGTCCTCTCCGTCTGTCACCGTCGTTTATCACTGACCGCCGGGCCAGCCGCCGGCTGCAAGGGGATTTGTAGCAAATAAATGTCAAGTCAGTCATAAAAACACTTGTTGCTCAGTTCTGGAACATACGTGGGCAACGTGGAAAGAAAACAATTGAGACTTCTTGGCGTGTGGCTGCTTCTTCCAGCATCCCGTATCCATCCCAGGGCTGCTTTCTACTCGTTTGTCGGCGTGATTGTGAGCACAATCAGACTCGGGAGTGTGAGCTGGGAAAGGGGCAGCAGGGCTTGTAGGGTGCAAGTCCAGGGAGGGCACAGCAACAGCTACCAACCCCCCTCCGCATCTGAAAGGCACTTGAGGAAGAATTTGCTGAAAGCCTTTGTTGGTTTGGAGGTTTTTTACGTGCCCACTTACCACGTAACTCACCATTCTCCCTGCTGGTGGCTATGGGGAGGGCTGGAGGGGCTGGCATTGGCATTTAAAAGATAATAATCATTTAGATTCTTATCTGAAGGGGGAAAAAAAAAATGCAGGTTTTGTAATTGCATCATCTAAAAATTAACGGGTTGTCAGAGCAAAGTATGATGGTCATATGCCAAAAATAGGAAGCCGTAGGATGAAATCTGAAGGGAAGCTTATCTCGTTACTTACTACTGTCAGGATACCCGTAGAGCCACAAACAAGTCGAACACCCACACCCTTGCTGAGTATCCAGAAAGCAATGTCGAACATTTTGCATCAAATTGAATCCCCCGTAGTGCAGGCTGTTCATGATTAAGCACGATGGTTTCACTGTGTTGCAACTCGCAGCTTTTGCAGGAATCCGAGACAGATACCGTCCAAAGCAGGCGAGGAAACTGAACTCCGAGGAGATGTGATGTTCCCTGGACTGAAGCAGCCCCAAATGTGGTTTCCACCGGTCCTCTCGCTGCATTTGGTGAGACGGAGGCGATTTGCTGAGCTGTGTGAGCTGGAAACCAAGCCTTGGTTTAAGCTTGGGGAGACACAGGCTGGCAGAAGGGTCTGGAGTGCCAGGTCCAGATTAACCGGAGACGAAAAGGCCATGAGAAGCAGCTCTCGGAGGAGGGTGAGGGATTGGTGACGGTGAGCAAAGGAGGGGTGGAAAGAGAGAGAAAGGAGGCAGATTGACTCAGCAGCAAAACGTGGCTTTGCACTGTTTAAACCCACCCGCAGCAGCGCTCGGTGACGTCTTCTCCAAGGAGGCGCGCGTTGGGTTTGAAGAGCAGCAACGCGCGGGCAGGGAGACGTCTTGCGGCGAATCCCCCCCCCCCGACCCCCCGCGGAGTTTGCACGGGGCTGGGGGATCCTTCCCAGCACAGACGGGTCCGTCACCCACCCCCCACCCCCCCCCAGCCCCTGCCGGGACCCCCCCCCTCGCTCAGGCCACGGGGGTGCCGAGCCGCTGGGGCCGCAGCTCCGCGTCCGGGGGCTCCGCGTCGAAGAGGTTGATCGAAGGGGCGCGGGGGGCCGGGGGAGGCGGGGAGGCGTCGCCGGGAGGCAGCGGGTTGTGTTCGTTCCCCGGCGCTCCCGAGTCGGCCGAGTCGCTCTCGGCCTGCAAGGTGAGGACGTTCTTGAGGGACGTGGCGGCGCGGGGTCCGCTGTTGGAGTTCCTCATGGAGAGGGAGATGGCGCTGGGCCGGGGCTCCCCCGAGCGCCGGCAGCAGGGCAGGTACTTGCCCATGGCCCTCTTGAAGTCCCTCATGAAGAGCGGGTAGATGATGGGGTTCATGGTGCTGTTGCAGTACCCCAGCCAGGTGAGCACGTCGAAGAAGCCGGCCGGGACGCAGCCGCAGACTGCCTGGCGGGGGGACACCGCAAGGATTAGCCCAGCTCCCACCTCGGCCCCCATGCAGGGCGGTTTCCCAGGCATGCCGACATCTCCCTTTCCAAGGAACCCTTCAAAACCCTTTCAGAGGGTTTTTCCTCGCCGTTGCTCCCCGGGGAAATTGCATCTTTGCACCCAGGGGCTTTCCAGCAAGACCTGCAGGTGCCTAAGATGGAACCCAACCGGATTCCAACTGAAAAGCTTTTGCAAACCCGCCAGGAAAACCCCGACCGTGCTTACCTGCGCCACGTTGGTGACGAAGAAGGGAAGCCAGGCCACGAAGAACATGCCCAGGAGGATGCCCAGCGTCAGGCTGGCCTTCAGCGCCTTCTTGCTGTGCTTGTTGGCGAACCTCCTGCTCTCGCTGCCGGCCGCGGGCTGGCTCGGGGTGCGAGGAACCTGCAGCGGGAGACGGGCGGGCGGTGACTGCTGCTGCCCAGGCCGGAGCTGCCGGCACCAGCGCCAGCCTCCCGCCCAAGAAAAGCGGCGTTTGGTGCTGCAAATCCTGTAAAAAAAAACAAAAAAACAAAAAAACAAAAAAAACCCCACTGGTATTTCCCTACTCACAAGGGGCAGGAGGACAGCACACACCGCAGGCCTTGAACCATAAATCAGGAAGAGAAAGCAATAGAAACCCTTGCCATTGAAAGGATTTTTTTTTTTTTAAGCTGTAAAATAGGAGCTTTATCATTAAGATGCTTCTTTTATAGAAAAATCCAACCCAGTCAACGTTTTGGTGAGGATAAAGCGTGCCCTAAGGAGGCAGCTCTAGCTGCTGATTAGAGCAGCAAACTAATTATATTTTTAAAAGCAGGACGTCAAACATTTCAGCCTACAGACACCACAGCTAACTCAGTCCTTTATCCACTCCTGCAATCTAAAATTAAATTATTATCTCAGCCTTCTGCCATAATTAAACCAGGCCCTGTTACCACTCAGCTTCCTGCCCAAAAAGAGAACAAAAATCCAGTTAAAAAGATGAAACCGGAGGGTTCCCTGGCTGACACCCCGTTTCCAGCCCGCCCTCCGCCCGAGCCGGTTCGGGGCCCCCGGGAATCTGCGGGGACACTGCTGAAACACAGGGGGTGGATGCTGGTTTCCCACGGCAGAACAAAGCACCTGAGCCCCCCCCGGGCCCCGCGCGGGGCAGCCCCGGGGCTGCGGCAGGTTGTGTTTGTGGAGTCCAAAACCCCCGACATCCGGGGAGAAAAGAAACCTTTTATACTGTTGTCTGTTTATGCTTTGATTCTCATTTTCCTTTTGGAAGTCTGGTACGTCTTATCATGTGCGGGAGAGCTGGCTGGGTCAGAGAGTCCCAGCTCCTTTCTTAAAAGAGAGAGAAAAACAAACTAAATCAAGGTATTTAAAGGCAATTAAGTTTGTCTTTCCCCTGTAGGATATGAGGTCAATAAAGCCTGTTACAGGGAATTACAGCAGTTAGATTTAGTGGCAATTACCTTCTCCTGGAGAAATACAAACAGGTGCAGCCACGTTTTGGTTATAAAAGCCACATACACCAGCAACCGCGTAAGGAGGTATTTCGCAGTTCCCATTATAGACCAGGTAACAAAAATAGAAACTGGCTGTTCAAAATGAGGTGCTCTCCAGAATCTGGTATTCGCTATTATTTAAACTCCTTCTCCCCCATATGTCTCACACCCACCGTGGCCAAGATTTACGAGTGGAAAGTCACATAAGATTAAAACCCTCCGGGATGACGCTAGCCAAGAGGGGGGAGAAACTGCATTTATTTTGCGCCACTGAGTGTTTTCGCCTGTAGCTTATTTCGCTGCTCCTGCTCCTGCTGTTTCTGTGCTCCCGAGCAGCTGAAAAGCGAGAAATTCCTGGGACGAGACACGGGGCACCTGGGAAGATGTCGGAAAGGGTGGGTGTTTGCCCCAAATCTCCCTCCCTGCCGTCTGGCTGCCAAAACCCTTTGCCGGCTCCGTCCCCGAGGCTGGCCGAAACGCCCCGAGCACCCGAATCACGGGCGCCCGCGAGCAGCGACGTCCCCGCGGCCACCTTACCTGCGGCGTGGTGTCGGCGGTGGCGGCGGTGGCCACGTTGGAGGCGAGGGAAGCCACCTGCACCGCCTGCTTGCGGGCTGCCAGGAGGATGCGGCAGTAGGTGAAGGAGATGGCGGCGGACGGGAGGAAGAAGGTCAGGCAGGAGGCCACCAAGGCGTAGGGCAAGCTGACCAGCAGCCGGCACTGGTCCTCGTCCCCCTGGGAGGTGACGTTTGGGGAGCGGACCTCAAACTCCAGCTCGTGCCAACCCATCTTGATGGGCAGGAAGGAGGCCAGCGCAGCCAAGGTCCAGGTGGCCAGGATGAGCCAGAGGGCTCTGCAGGAGGTCATCCGCAGCTTGTATTTGAGGGGGGAGATGATGAGCAGGTAGCGGTCCAAGCTGATGACGCAGAGGTTGAGGATGGAAGCGCTGCAGCACATGACGTCGAAGGAATACCAGAGGGAGCAGAAGTCGCCCCGCAGCACCCAGCGGCCGTAGAGCTGGTTGAGCATGGCCGGGGGCATGACCACCAGCCCCACCATCAGGTCGGACATGAAGAGGGACACCAGGAAGTAGTTGGAGGTGTTGCGGAGGGAGCGCTGGGTGACGATGAGGAGGATGAGGAGGAAGTTCCCCGCCGTGGTCAGCAGGATGATGAAGCAGAGGAAAGCGGCCACCCAGCTGCTCCCCACCAGCAGCGAGCGCTCCCCCAGCACGCTGGCGTTGGGGGCCCCCAAACCGCCCTCCATGAGCAGCCGGGCGGTGGGGCTGGCTCTGGGGCTGGGGGGACCTTCTCCGGCCGTGACCTGAGCTAGGTGATCATCGCTGGAGCCAGCTCCAGGGGAAGAAGCACCAGCTCTCCGTCTCCTCTCTGTGTCCGTCCTCCTTTCTCCTCTCCTCCTCCTCTTCCCCCACTCTCTCTTCACTGGCAATCAGGGCAGAGTGACACTCCCAGGAGCCGATCAGCAGTGGCAAGGTTCCCCTCCCCGTTACTCACAGCCAGGCATCTCCTCGTCCCTGCGAATCCCCCGGCGCTGGGATGGCCCTGGACGCCGCTTCTGGATGCTGGGGATGCTCTGGACACCAGGGAGGGTCGGGATGCTCTGGATGGCGGGATGCTCGAGATGCCGGGGATGCTCTGATGCTTTGAATGCGCTGGACCGAGGAATAATCTGGACCCCAGGATGCTCTGGAGCCCACGATACTTCGGCTGCTGGGGACGCTCTGGATCCCGGGATGCTCCGGACGCCGGGGATGTTCTGCACCCAGGATACTCCGGGTGCTGGGGGTGCTCTGGCTCCCAGGATGTTTCAGACGCCGGGGATGCTCCGGACCCCCAATGCTTGGCTCCCTGCCCCCCAGCTGGGCTTGGCCACTCGCAGAGCTCCGTCCCCCGGGGCAGCGGGGCCGCGCTGAGCCCTGCCTGAGCTCTGCTGCTGCTGCTGCTGCTGCTGCTGCTGCAGCCCGAGACAGCAAGGAGAGGCAGAGCAGCCCCGAGGCGAGCGCGGGGATGCTCCCGGCCAAGCTCGCCCGTGGGGAGGAAGATGCAACACGCAGGAGTGTGGGAAGGTGTCTCTCCCCTGGCCGAGGCGCGTCGAGCATGCAGGGGTGCGTGTGTGAGCGTGTGTGTGTGCGTGCAGGTGCCAGCCGGACTTTTACCTGCTGCTCTGTGATGCACAGAAAAGGATGCAGAAATGCTGATTCGGAGGAGGTGGGGCTGGGGCTGGGGGGGGGGGGGGGGGGGGGGAAGAGGAGGAGATGAAACGAAATGCTAATGGAAACAGAGATCTGGTCAAAACTCCACAAAGTGGCAGCCAGAGAGTTCCCTTTTTTGCCTTAAAGAGACAGCCGGCACCGTGCTCTGCCTCCCCACGCCGGAGCCCCCGCGGCTGGCTGGCAGCGGGGAGAGACCCACGGGCCGGCGGGTCTGCGGCTGAGCCGGGCCGGCAGCACCGAGCGCCAGGCTGCGGCCGATAAAAAGCAAAAATTTGCAAAGCCAAAGGAAAAAAAAAAAAAAAAAAAAAAAAAGCAACAAAACCTGCATGCAACAGCCCACAGTCGCCTGCTCAGCAAGAAGCCAGGGGCGTGGAAAGGACTTGCTGGCCGATGTGCCAGCAATCCGCAGCCAGGGCTGGAGGGGGCGAGCAGAAGCCAGGGGCGACGGCTGCGCTCGGGCCGGGACAGCCCCGGGGTCTTGCCCCTCCGCTCCCGGGTTAGTTGGGCTGGCCTCCAGCCCTGCCCGTGCCGGGGCAACCCCGGACGGACCCGCGGCAACGAGCCCTTTGGCAAGTGGGAGGCAACGTGTCAGAGAACCCCCCGGGTCCTGCTGGTTTCTTCATCCCTTCTAGTTCAGAAGACACTCGTGAATCTGTCAGGTATCCCATGCTACCACCTCCACGCTGCATGGCCAATACCTCAGGGTGCTTGGCAGAGACTGATACACTTTTTTTTTTAATTATCCAGATGCCAAAAGGTTGTTTTTTTGGTTTTGTTTCTTTTTTTTTTTTTTTTTTTTTTTTTTCTCCAAACAAATAACTGTGATTTCTGTTACGGGGAGGCCAGCGCTGAGGGCACTGACTCCAGCACAAACCGGAGCCCTGTGCGCGTCCCCGTTGTGCCCCTGGCACCTCCCCGGGCGGTCGCAGGGGCCGCCGCTGCCCGAGCTTTCCTGAACACGCTTCCCCTGGGAAGATGCTGCTGCAGATGTGTGGGCGAGCTCCAGCTGTGCACGCCCACCCCGCTGCACCCCCGGCACTGCCCAGCCACCCACCCCGGGGCGGAAATTTGTCTCTTTACCATAGATCTGCTTTTCTCATCAGCTTTCCAACAACTTTGTCAGGGTTTTTGCAGTGGCTGAACAGGCAATCCAGGCCGCTGAGCAAGGCAGAGGGGAGATGCAAAGCAGGGCTCACCTCTGGGGACGGACACAGCCCGTACGCGCCCCGCTGCCCGCCCTGATCCCGGTGCCACTCGAAAGCTGCTCACTGGGCAAGAGCTGCCGGCACTCGTACCAGGACGAGCTCTCCTGGGAGCTCGTGCACGGCGTCTGCCCTCCCTCTGCTTCCCCAGGACCCTCTCCTTGGATGCTCCCAGCCAAACCTCCCCGGCCACCGCTGCGTCACTCCGTGCTGGCAGGCATCCCAGGGCAGAGCACACACACGCGAGGCTCTGATCGCAGCAGGAGGTTTCTTTAGAAAAGCGCTTGTACCAGGAAACCCTCACTTCCTCGTCCCATCTGTGCTGGGAACAAGCAAGAAACTTCCCCCCCCGCCCCAAGCCCACACTGCGGCAGCCTCCCCAGCTAAGATAAATCAAGGCAGCAGCACAGATTTATCCCAGCTGGGTCCACGCTAGCGCTCAGCGAGGAAGTCATGCCACAGTGTAAGGCCGGGCGTCCTCCTCAGCCCTGCTGCACCCCAACCTTAGGAGCACCTCAGTTTAGCTCCAGAGCTTTTGCTTCAGAGGAGGAGACTGGATGAGGAGTGTGTCCTCCACAACAAGGTATGTGGGAGGTTTTGCACGCTTGGTTTGGAAGCGTTTGCTGGGGAAGTGAATCTGAATTGGTCAAACCGAAACGTGTTTAAAAAAACCTGCCTTAAAATGAGGTCCAAATCCTACCGTTGCCCCTGCAAAAGCTTCTCTGCTCCGGCAGCTCTGCTGGCCTCTCTGCTCCCTCCCCTGCGCTGCGTTTCTGGACACATCTGCAGGGGATCATGGTTTCCACCAGCTCTGCACTCCAGTACCACTAGCAGGGAAAGCAAAACCAGGTTGTCAACAGCCACCCAAATGTCATCATGGCAAAGAAAGGGCTGGTGAGCTGCAGTGAGTAGAACTGGAAGGCTGAGAGACCTCGGCGAGGGCATCCAGGCAGTCCAGGGCTTAATGCAGCTGCCTCCAGCAGTGCAATCTACTCTCAGGATCTCGTTCCATCCTTTAACCGGGAAGGTTCTGTAGGGCAGATTTTGGGCAGAGCCTGGCTAGCTACCTTTAAAGATTTGTCTTCATCTGCAAAACAGCCCTCCGTTGCCTGCCCCCACTGAAACTCAGGTTGTGTCCAAAGGAAGTGGAAACATCCTGCTCCAAATACCCCGAACCGCAGCACCTGGGGTTTATAGGAACAGTCCCCCTGCTAACTCCCGCTCCTGTTTTGTCTGTAAAAGGGCCACGTGATGGTGGTGGGTGACAACATGGGCTTCTCCACCTCTTCCTGGCTCTCCAGTAAAGCTCCCAGTCTTAGTAGGACACTTCACAGCCTAAAAATATTAACACGCAGGACATGTACACTCGTGCCAGGGTCCTTCCTTTCCAGCCCATCCCTTTCGTTGTGGCAACGGCTGCCTCGTGGCAAACCCCTCTCCCGCTTCACCGCCTGGAGAGCTGCTCTCCAAACTTGTGCAGGGCCCCCGGGGCTCAAAGAGAGGGGCAGGACGAGCTGGCTGCTCGCAGGGCAGAGCCTCCCGCCCCGCCGGGAGCAGGCGGGACCTTCCCCGGGGTTAGGCTCAGGCAAAGGAGCATCGTCTGATGGTTTCTGAGGGCGCATCCACGCCGGGTGGCCGGGTGACGGTGGGGCCGGAGGTTTGCAAGGGCACACTGTGCCCTGCCCGGGGAACGCTGGATCCAAACACCCTTGGAAATAGCCCGCTGGAGGCGCTTGGGTCCCCTCCTCACCCACGAAGGGATGTCCATGTCCATGTCCGAGTTCGCCTTCCTCCAAGTCCAGAGGCACTCCCGGAGGCCATGAACATCTGGATGCCACGAAACGCGCTGGATCGAGAGTGTCACCTAGTGGCAACAGAGCTGGTAAAGGTTGCGTGATCCCGCAGAGACCCCACGCGCTTCCCACACGAGCGGGACCCGACAGCCCTTAAACCCCGAGGCTGCAGCGATACGGGCCCTTGAGCACCACCACGCCTGATGTGCAGGCTCCCCGGCTCCACATGCAGCCCATATGCTGAGAATCTGGGGTCGGTTTTCTTTTTAGCGGCTCTCCCTCCTCCTCTCAAACGGAACGCAGCCGAAAGCTAAAGGGAACCGTCGCTCTCCCCTGCCCTGTACCCTCCTGCGCCACCGTCCCGTCCGGCGTCCTGCTGGAAACGGCCTCTCCCCTGCCAGCACTGAGGAGCCCGCTGCCAAAAACCAGACAGGCATCAGCGCTGAGAAATGGAAGTCAGAACTAATTTATTTAAGAAAAAAAAAAAACAAAACAACAAAAACAAACACACAAACAAAAAAAAAACACCAACCAAAAAAAAAAAAACCCAACAAACCAAAAAACCTTGTAAAAAGGAGGGGGGAGGCATCGATTACAAGCTCTGGAAGCTTTTGTCAGGACAGCGCCAAAGAAATCAGCTTTATACAACAGAGAGAAAGGGGCAGCAGGAGGGGCCCAGGGCCGTCCCCCCGCCCCGAGCCTCCCCAGCCCTGCATGAGCAGTCCCCTGCAAAGGTACATCGGCATCCCGGCACATCCCTTCTCCCTCCACCACTGTTAAAGTGCAGCAGGGAGAAGGGGAAGAGGGGCTGGCTCCCACCCAGACCACCCCCACGCCAGCCTGCCCTTGGCCTTCCCCCGTGGGCAGTGAAATGCGAAGCCCCTGTGATCCCTCATCCCCAGGGAGCTGCTGGGAGGCCCTGAGGACCAGCAAGGGCAGGGCTCTCACCACCACGGGTCCCAGCGGCCCCAGAGGCACATCCTGGGGCAAAACTGCTCCCCAAGAGCTGCCTAAAACAAGGGGGTCGGGGTTGAACGAAGATCCAGTGGGTGCCAGGAGGACCAGCGTCTCCACGCTGAGCCTAGGGCAGGGCAGATGGGAGGAGGAAGGGATGCCGCTGGTCCCACGCACCCTGGAAGGGATGTGCATCTCTTTGTGGGACTGTGGGGAGGCTGCACCCCTTCCTCCTCCACCCCAGGTACAAGAGAAAAACCCAGAAGGACTCAGCAAGGGCTCCACAGGAGGTTCGGGAGCCTGCAGACAGCCCCCGGGGAGCCCAGCTCAGCTCGTGCTCTCAGCCCAAACCCCCTCGTCCGGGTTCCCGGTCCTCTCAATATATTATTACTATTATGTGCAAGTAGTTTTTGCATCAGAAACCGCCGAGCCCCTCCTCTCTCACCCTGCAGCTCCAGCCCCTCAGCCCTGCTTGTGCCTCAAAACTGTTCCTCCAGCCCCGGGGGGCGTCGTGGAGAGCAAAGCATGAGGGCAGCTATTAGACAGGAAAGACTCCACCACCCCCCCCTCCCTCCCCAAACCCCGGCCCTCTCCCTCGCACACAGCCCCTGCCCGTGCCGCCGGCTGCAAGGACAGTCCGCAAGGGCCAGGTCACTCGTCGCCCTCCTGCTCGTGGTGGTGGTGGCTGGAGGCAGGAGGTTCTTCTACCTCCTGCTGGTGGTGGGCGTAGTGGTGGGGACCGGGACCTTCGGCGGGCATGTTCTCCTCCGCGTTCAGGTAGACGTTGAACAGGGCTCCCTCGTGGCTCGGCTCCTTCCCGCAAGCCTGGCAGCTGCAGTGAAGTATCTTCTCCACCAGCTTGTCAACCCTGGGGATCTCGTCGTTGCCCGGACAGTCCAGCGTCACCTGGGTAGAAGGGCGAGGACGCCGTCAGCGAGCGTGCGGGCCCGTGCCCTCCAGGCTTGGGGTGTTTTAAGCCAAAAGCGATGGCTCGATGGCTCGCTGCCCGCGGGCAGGCTGCGAGGGCAGAGCTCTCTGGGGGTGTCTCGCAAGGTCACAGCCCGCAGAGACCTGGGGAGGCGGCTCCCCGGCACGACCCGGCACCGGCGCCCCCGAGGGACGTCGCTGAACACCTCTGATAGTTTGGACAAAAAAAAAAAAAATAAATCCGCCCAAAGGTCTGAGTTGAAAGCAAAGCAAAGAGCTGAAGCCAGCTCCCTGGGAGCCCAGGCCTAGCCCTGGCGGCAGTGTTTGCGGCTCTGCCAGGATCAGCGGTGGCATGAAACTGTGAGGTCTGAGGGGGACGGGCAGATGGGCTGTGGGAAGCGCTTCTGGATGCGGAAAAAGGCAAAAACTCCCAAGTGGGAGGAGGCGACAAAGGGAGTGGTGGAGAGAACAGGCACGGGGGATGAGCAGAGGGATGAATAATGCAGGGACTGAGGGGGGATGCTTCTGCAAACAACGTGATGAACGCATCATTCAGCACAGCAGTCACGTTGCTTTCGGCAGCCCCTTCCACTGAGGCATCTCAAGACAGGGTACAGTCACCTGAGAGACGCCCTGAAAGGAGACGGCGAGTGCGAAAACCTCAGGAAAGGAGAATTACTCCCCCTAAAGTGGTGGCAGAGCAGGGCCGAGAGGCCCTGAGCGAGGCCCTGCTGAAAGAACCGTGGAGCCGGCCGGGATACTCACAATTTCCCACATGGACTGGGCTGGCATGCAGGAGTCGCAGTGAACCAGGGACTCTGTGGACTGAGGAAAGGTGTTGGGGACGCTGTAGCTGAAACACTGTCCCAGACAGGCCCTGCAAAGACAACCGGGGGCGGGGATGAGGGTGCCTGCTCTTCCCAGAAAAGGCAGGACATTGTGCCTGGCCTTCTTGTGCGAGCGGCAGTCCCCAAAGCCACTCGGGTGCCACCTGCAAAAGGCAACCGGCTGCATCCAGCTCTGCTCTGGCGGTGGATCCGTACCTGTTCTGGATGGACTTGGACTCGCAGCCGCTGTGCCCCACGATCTGGGTGATGTTCTTCGCCTCGCACCAAGCGCTCTTGTCCGGGAAGAGGGCGAGCTTGTTTATGGGGGGCGGCGCGGCCAGGAGCAGCGCTGGGAAGAGGGCACCCACCACGAACCATAACATCATGGCCAGCTCTGCCAAAATCCTACAGCTGGGGACAGAGAGCAGAGCGTCAGCAGGGAAGAAAACAGGCAAGCCGACCCGATTCTCCAGCCCCGTGGAAGTTCTTGGTGGCGACGAGCACACGTGCGTCCTCCCAGGGCTGGTACTCACAGCTCCCCAAACCACCGCACGGGGAGTGGGACACGCTGCGGTGCCTCTTCCCTGTTCCAAAGCAGCCCCGGGGCAGGCAGACACCTGCATTACTTCTCCCCAGTTTCGTGCCAGGAGCAACAGCAGGTTTTCCCTCGTTTCCCACCCAAAGCCGGGCTGGGAGACGTTTGCAAAACAAGAGTGTCACCTTCACGGGCCAAGCCAGGTTGGAGATTTCGCGCGGACTGCAGAAATGTTTTTATTGGAGGAAGGAGCAGACTTCTCCACTTCCTCTCCTCCCACCTTAAAAGCCAAATCTGGCCTCGCCACGAGCCCTCCCAGAGAAAAGGGACGGCTTTCCCGGGAAGGGAGGCCACTCTCCTCCTGGAATTGCGCGGCAGGTGTCGCTGCAAGGCAGCAGCAAGCGGGGAAACCTCCATCCAGAGGCTAGAAACCCGACGAAAAGACCAATACGGCATTTATTTTTATAGAGCCACTCAAATTCGGCACACGGTTACTCTGAGGACGGGAACTCGGTCTGCAGACAAGGGGGGGTCCTTTTAATAGCAAGCATAAACCTCGCTCGCAAAGGTGGTCGCCCGAGGAGGTTACTTGCCACCCCCAGAGAAATCCCACGCAGGCTTTCCTCGCGGGCCAGCTGCATTCTCGAGCCAAGGTGCCTGCATTAACACTCCCAATCGCTGGGGAAAGGCGGATGGAAAAGCATCATAGAAATAGGGAAATTTTTTCCTTTGTGGGGTTTGGATGGAGTCATAGTGAAAGGCAGACATTTATACTTTCTAAAATATTTGTTAGAACCATGTTATTTGTTATTTCCTTCTATTTATTTATCCAGACGAAGATCCAAAGCCCACACTGGAAAGACTCCTGTTGATTCCCATGGCTGCTGGGCCCAGCCCTCCAACGCTTGCTGGGGAAGGAGAGGAAAAACGCCTTGTTTGTCAGACACCGGTGTCAGAGGCAGCTCTGAGCTGGGGGCTCCCAGCCAGGCGCTCCCCCGGTCACTCAGCCTCTCCACACCGTCACCAACACCCCCTCGGCTGGAGGACCACCACGTTTAGCTGAATTATGGGGATGGCCTGCTAAGCACCTCTCACAGCTCCAGCTCAGATATTTGAAGGTCATTACGGGACGGAGGGTTTTGCCCTGTTACCCCTCCACCGAGCCCAACCTCCTGGATCTGAATCAAGGCAGGGACGACAGAGAGATGCTTCCCCATCCTCCATCCCAAGGCAGCCAGCAAAGGGCATCCCCATTCCCCGGCCCTGGGATCTCTGGAGGAATCAGGTGGGGTTTCTGCTGAATTTTCTTATTTCCTAGTGCTATAGGAACCCCAACGGTGTAACGCAGCAAGACCTTTATAGCACTTGTTCCCGTGAATCCCACGGGTCCCCGGTGAGAATACCTGCACGAGGCAGGGTTTGCAGGTCTTGGTTTGAGATAAGCAGAGGGTTTTGGCCCCTGAGCTTGCGCTGCCGTTCATGGGAGCGGTGTGGTTAACTACATTTGTCCTGAAGACAACTCTTAGGGCTTACTTCTGTGCCCTGATTTTTTTTTTTTTTCTATTTCAGTGGGGGAATTCTACAATTTCTGCTAACACCACGGCTAAGCTGCACAAACACACACTTGATTTGCTTGGTTTTCTGAAACAAGCATCACTCATTCCTCAAATGCCAGCAGCTTCATGCTGAGGAATCCTGCTCCCAAAGGCAAGTCCGAGATCAGAGCTGGGATGTGACCCAAACAGCAATCACAGCCCCCGGGGGAACAGCCGAAATTCCTCTCGAGTCAATACACAAGTTCACTTCCACATGCCTGATTAGAGAGCAATTTCCTTCTTTGCAAAGAAAGGTGGTGGCTGTTTTTTTTCCTGGTTTCCATGCATCTCTACAGAGGCGCAAACATTTCTGTCGGGCGCTGACAGCCCTGCTTTCCTGGAACCTTTTTATTTCCTGAAGGGAGGTGTTCAATAGAGAGGTGTTTCTGCAGCACGCTGGTCGCTGGTCGGAGCAGACCCATTGCCAGAGGCACGAAGGCTCATCTCTGAGCATCTGGGCTCCTGTCTTGCTCCGATACCGAGAGGAAGATGAGTGAGGCTGTGCTCTGCTAAAGCACAGGACCTGGCCTGGATTCAGGAAAGCACTTAAACATATGCTTAAAGCCTCTCCTTTCCTGAGCAAGGACTTCTTTGCAACCAGGGCCCCTCGCAGCACGGCCGCTGGTCCGGTCTGCAGGGGGGTGGTTGGCGAGCAGGGGAACGGGGTAACTCCGCAGAGCAGGAGCAGTTGCAGCGTTACCCCATTTTTCAGGGCGCTCGGGTGCTGAGCACGGCTATCCCCCACTGATTTGAAGCCTTCGACAGGCCACATCCACATGGTGTTTTCCTTCCCCCGAGAATGCCCTGGAACCCGCAGGGCCACATTTCTAGTAAGGAACAAGGTTTATGCCAGTGCTTAGGAAAACATCTGATGCAGCTGAGTTTGGGAGGGAGCTGGGGCTGGAAACAGCCTGCTCGCAACCGCGGCATGTTCGCTGGCATAGTTCAAACCAGTCATGCGAACAGAGCTGCCACTAAAACCATTCATCTGACAGCAGCCACAGGGTCGGAGACAAAAGCACCGTGTTCCTTCTCCCCCCGGCTGGGAAGGGAAGGGAAAAAGGAAGACAAGGCACCCGAGCAGGTTTGCAAACTCCCGATTAAATAAAGGCATTGAGCACATTCCTCCGTGACAAGCTAAATTACACGTTGCAGCCCCTAAAGGAACAAGTGTGCGCTCCCCGGCGCTGACCCCGGCCCTGGCCTGCATTTCCCCGCACACAGGGGCTTCTTTCTCTTCTCCGTACCGGGGCACATTTTTTTTTCCTGCTAGTCAAAGCTTTTCAAGCAGAAAGTTCAGCTCAGTTCCGGCAGACCCATCAGCCCGTGAGGGTCTCCCCCCTCTCCCCCAGCAGGGAACCGTATGGCAGCTTCCTCCGCCATCCCTTCGGCACGCATTTGAGAAATCAAATGACTCAGCCTTTGAGCCTGGCACATCCCGGACTCTGGAGACAAACAACTTCTCAGCACACGCACAGCTGCAGCCTTGTGGTGAGCAGCCCCGGAGCCCTTTTCCAGCCTGTCCCCGTGCCCGAGGAGCGGAGGGGCAAAATGTCCCGAGCTGATGGGCCTCAGCTGTACCGGCTCAGCATCCCTTCGAGGACCAGAGAGCTGGGCAGGAGTCCTGCCGATGGCTGTGCTTCCCACGAGCCCGGTTTTGAGAGCTGGTGGTAGCACGCTCAGATGTTTTGTGTCACCTAGAAGAGCTCCTTCCTCCCACCCCGGCAGTCCCGGGGACTCTCGGGAGTCCCGCGAGCAGGACGGTCCCCGCCAACGCCTGGAAGCAGCTGGGAAAATCTACATCGTTACATCGGCTGGAGGACAATCACGGGAATTACCTCGGAGGCCACGTTCCCACCATCCAGCCCACAGCTGTTCTCGGCCATTTGGAAACCAAACACTTCTGGAGGAAAATAAAAAAGATCTAATCAGTTTTACCCTCTTTTTCCAGTGGGAAGTTTACACCATAATACAAGACAAGCCTGCAGGTGGACATGGGGAACAGTTCACAAGTAGTTTAGTATATTTATAGGTATTTTTCTTATCCAGGATCTTGCAGTTTTGCCAAACACATAAAAACACAGACACAGGTATATTGTGCTCGTGGCCACACACGCAGCATCCCAGGTTCTGAGAGACAAGAAACCCTGAAGCTTTACAAACATTGCTTAGCCAAGGCTCAAAGCCTGCGAATACAGCGCAGAAACAGTGTCAGCTCCACGCTGCGGCTAAGGAAAATGAGGTACGAAGCTGGGAAACGGCCTTAGCTCAGTGCCTGAACCAGTGATTGTGTGAGACGCGTGAGATCTCAGCAGAGCTGGACAAGGGGAAGGTTTCAGCTCCTGGTCCGGATCAGAGCTGGGACCTCCGCCTTCCTCTCCTGCCTCCCTGGACACGCGGCTGCCCTGCCCGGCAGAGCCAGCCCCCCCCCCCCCCCAGCCTGGTCCTCCCGCTCCACCACGCCAAGGTGCCACGAGCAACCCCAAGTCAGTGTTCGATATGAATCACAGCAGTACCAGCTCCCGCTTTTGCGTTCAACTAGTTATTTGTGCCATTTTGCGGAGAAAAGCTTTCCGCACGGCGCTGCCGGGAGAAGAGGGGGGGGGCCCAAAGACGCGCTGCTGAGTGCCTCAGTTTCCCTGCACGTCAGAGCAGAGACGGGGAGCGCCGTCAGCTGGGCGAGCCGATGGGTGCAGAGAGACTGGAAAAACACGGGGAGGTCTTTGGAGAGCTTGCCTTCTTTCGAGGGAAGAGGCTGTTCCCCGGGGCAGGAGGGGAGGGACGGCTGCCAACAGCCCTTGCCCCACACGATGCGGGAAGGTGCTCGGGGGAAACGCCGCGCGGCGGGGAGGGCGGGAGTCAGGCCGGGACACCGCTGCGCGGCAAGAGGAGTCGTGCAAGGACGCCGAGCTGCACGGCAAGGGCTGCCCCGGGAAGAGAAAAAGCTCTCCGAGGACACGGGTGGGATCGCGCCCGGGCGAGGAGGTGGCCAGGAGCAATCTCACCGCGGGTGGCCGGAAACGCTAAAAGGCAACCGATTATTTAGGCACCTAAAAGGAAGCAAAGCCGCAGTAAGTGATTTGGTGGCAACTGGAAAGAAACATGGGTCTGTCCCAGAAAGATCCAGGGCATGGCTCTCCTCGGACATGGCATTTTGTCTATGTGGTAGCTTCTGAACAGTACAGGGAATTGCCTCTTAGGAATCTCAACTCAAATAGTACTTGCTTGCTTGGAACAAAAAATATTATAAGTCAGCATTATTAGCAGGCAAAGTTTAAATCTAAACTGCAAAAAACTGAAAAGTTACTGTGTACTGAAAAAAACCCATCAAACCAACTGATTTTATTCCATACTTATCCTTATTTAATACTTTCCCCTTTTTAGCAATTTGCATTTAGCTAAAACTTTACCTTTTTCAATTTGATTGCAAAAAATATGAAGTACAACATTCTTTTGGGGACTCTACTGTTGGGCCTGCAATAACCCAAATTAATCTGATCGATGTCACAACAATATTGCCAGGGGAGAGGGAAGAGCACTATCACACTGAAAATGTCTAGAGGTAATTCCTCAGGACAGCAAGACAGATGGGTGCTAAACTGAACACAGAAGTCTCTTCTGAGCTGAGAGTTTCAGTCTTGCTCCGCCGAGCTGCAAAATCTGGGGAGAAATTACAAAAAAAAATAAAAAGGGAACTACCATCGGAGACATTTGATACTTAACATGCAAAAGAATCAATCTGAAAACCTTTTTGATAAGGGAGCAAAAGCCATGTCTTTTCTCACTGCTGATCTGGCTGACTCTGCTCCTTTCAAAAGCAGGAGATGTTAGAGCTTCCCTTTCCCTAACATATTAATTTCCACTCAAGCACGGTTGGGCGATTCACAGAAATAAAGCAGAAAGAGAAAAAAGCAGTGCAGCATTTTTAAAGCCCTCCCCCCTCCCCACTTTGGACAGAATTTCAAAAGACTTTGGTACATTGGGAGTTTAAATCTGGCTTCTCAGCCATGCACTGAGCACTCGAGAAACTCATTTTATGCAGCTGGAAAAAAAAAAAAAATCCAAGCTCCTTTACCTACAAAAGGCATTGGAAAGCTCCCTCTGGATTTAGGCTTAGAATGGGGTCCTAAAGGAGCTCTGCTGGAAAAGGGACACACTAATGGCCTGTGGAAGAGGCAAGAGCAATATAAACAGTTGCTGGTAATTTATTTCAATTGCTCGATTTCTTCAGCATTAAGAACAATCACGGCCAGGAAAACGCCTCAAGATAAAGCACAGGAATATATCCTGGCCCCACACCACCCTCCGCTCCCTCTCTTCAGGCACCTGCTCGAAATGCGGGGCTCCACGGCCCCCAAGAGCAGCGGGGCAAGCGGCACGGGAGCAAGGATGTCTTGGGGCCCTGGAAAACAAGCCTGGTACTAGCCTCCAGTTTTGGGGAGCAGTGGGACTGGGGGGGGGGGGGGCGTGGGGCTCGGCAAACTGGGGAGAGGGGAGAACGTACGGGCTGTGAGAGCCTGTGCAAGGAAGGACGAGTCTGCCACATGCTTTGGCTAGAACAGTCCCCAGCGGTAGGTCGTAGCCGAGCGCGCTGCAGATAATATGAGAAATAGGCACTTTCAAACGCAGCTGTGAGCAGCATTTCAGCCCGAGGCCTCGCCCGCATGTCTGGACCTGACCGAGGCTCGACTCCCTCCTGCTTTTCCCCTGGAGCTGGTGTTTCCCACCCAGCCATCCCACCCGCTCGCTGCCGCAGGGCTGCGGGTGTCGGCTGGAGCTCTGGCCACGCCAGGCGGGTCCAAACGTGGACGGCGGATCCCAAACCCTTCAAAAATCCCCGGGCGAGGGCAGCGACTGCCACCCTGCAGCTGGGCTGCTCTCCCTGAACGCCGACCCTGACCCCTGCAAGCAGCAGCTTCCCACCCAGCGTGGAAAGGGGCTGATTTTTCCTCCCCCACGGCAGCGGAGCCAAGAGCCTGACCACTACCCCGCGCCGACGGCATCTCCCCCCGAGCACCTGGCTCGCTCTTCAGCACACAGGCACACCGATTCCCTCTGCAACCGAAGCCACAGCCTCTCCCCTCCTTTTTCGGTGAAAACAGCTTTCACAGGACCGGCGGCAAAACCCGCACCGCCTCTGGGAAGGGTCCCAAGACTCGCTCGCTTTTACCCGGGTTTGATTTGCGCGCAGGCACCAGCGATTCCCCCGGGGAGCGCTTCTCCCAGCAGGCCCAGTTCTGCTTTCACTTAGAGTGAGGTAAACTGGGACCGGCTCCTCCAAATGACTCCACTGGTGCAAATGAGATCAGAATCTGGCACCGCTCGTCTTACTCAAAACAAGCATAACTGGAACCAGATAAAACCAGTTCTAGTACAGAGTGGCCACCAGGATTATTATTTTTTTAATTTAGCACACACGCCGCGTAAGGCCATCCTGCAGTCAGAGATGGGAGTTGTCTCAAATGCCAACCACGCTGGCTTTCGGCTCGCTCGGTCATTCATTACCAAACTTGCATAAAAAATCAAGCCCTGTCCTCCGCAGCGGGGTTGCGCTTGCAGGATCAGGTTCCCAGCTGCTGGAGCAAGAGGGGGAAAGAGGGAAGGAGAAAGGGGGCTGCAGCTGAAGCTGTGGATCTTTCAGTGATGGTTCAGTGACACTCCCCTCTCCCTTTACACCCGTTCAGGCCATATCCTGGCCAAAACAGCAGAAATCCAGCCGACTTCAGTGCTGTTTCACCTTCTTTTTTAATCTCTGCTTTACACGGCACCAGCCCTCTCAGTTTTGATGACATAAAACCCAACTGACCCACGGCACTGACTGCAATATCTCCAATACCGAAGCGCAAAAAACACGTGGCACTGCAGGGCCAGAGGCTTTCGGGGGTAACGTAACAGCTCACAGCCCAGTCGGGTATTTTCCATTGCTACCAGACGTGCTGGGGGCTGACCTCACACTTGACATTTAGATGGTTGCTCCTAAAACTGCAGAATTGGGTCCAGTAACCACAGTGAAATCAAAGCATGAACAGAATGCCGGTCTTTCACCCTTTCTGGACAAGTCGCCTGAGCTCGGTACCAGAGAAGGAGGGGGCTTAAGCCACATCTGAGTGACCAAAGTGAGAGCCCAACCCTGACACCATTTCCAAAGCTCAACTCCAAAGGACTGAAATCTTGGCTGGAATGGGGGTAGCGGTCCAGCCCAGCCCCACGACCGGTAGCAATGAGTGTCGGGCTGTTCTGCTCCCACCATCGGTGCTAATTTACACCCAGGAAAGCCCTGGCCCCCACCGCCCCGTGTCTCTCCCTCCCTAAACAGCACCGTGAGAGAAACAAAGGTCTGGGGAAACAGCAAGCACAGCTCCTGCCAGCGCTAACGGGAGGCGCAGAGGACAGACCACCCCTCATTCCCACTCCGGTCCTCCCCCAAAACAACGATTTTATCAGCCGCTTGGGTTTTTAAGAGTCTGATCTGATCAGCTGAGAAGTTTCTTTGCCCTAAGCTTGCCGGGTACTCTGGTCCTTGCTTTATCACAGGGGATCTCTGAGTCTGGGTGACTAAGCGAAGGGTGTTTTGTTGTTTTGTTTTGTTTTTTTTTTTTTTTTCCAGCAGACTTCAAAAAATAAGAGCAGGAGCAAGCCCCCGGCTCTGCCTGCCCCGCGGTCGCTGCGGCTCGGACACGGGAGCCGGGGGAGGGAATGCTAATACTGAACTGGGCACGGGAACTGCCCAGTTTACTCTGCTTCCCGGGCAGGTTTCCCATGACTATACCAGCTTAACACAACCTCAGCAATGCCAACACACACCGTGAGCAAAGTTACTCCAATACGGGCAGGTCTTCAAGGCCACTTTAAAAGCGTTTTGGCTCAGGGCCCGATCCTGCAGTTCCTGGGCACCTAAAATTCCCTCCAGCTTGACTGTTTTACTCGCTCCGGAAAGACGACTGGGCACTCAGGAAGACTTTGCTCGTTTGCCCTTTTTGCAAGACCGCAAACTCCCCAAGCTGGAATTCAGTGCAGAGAGGTCAAGCCAAGAGCCCGGATTCTTCTCAGGGCTGTTTGCAAACACTTGAGATTTTTATACTGAAGGCAAATTCCATTTCCCATCCTGCGGTTTGCAAATTTGAGGCAAGCTGCCTTTTTCGAGATGGGAGACTGCCTTCAAAAAGCAAAAGTGCCCATTGTATACAGCTGATTTTTTGGCTGGTTGGACATTGCAAAGAGGACATTAAGTCCTTAGGCTAAAAATACAAGGGAAAATCTGGGCCTCACCGTATCCCTAGAATCTTTCCCACTTGTTTCAGTAGGGTGCAGATTTTTCCCCAAAACCCCCGCCTGGCAAAGCTACAGTGCCCCATATCCACAACCACTTCACACAGGATGAATTTTCAATTTGGTGGGGTTAATCCTACACGTAAAAGTTAGATTGTGGAGCAGAGCCCAAGTTTCTCGTAAGAGTGCCCTCGTAAGAGAAATGTTAGTAGGCAATAAGGGATTGTCTGGATCAACTTTAATGCAGACTGAAAATGAGCTAAAGCATGTTGTGTGCCCCAAACACCTCTTAGAGAAACAGATAAATCCCCACTGTGCATAAAACGCAGAGATTATTGTATATAACAAATAAGAATAGATGCAAATACTTAGACAAACTGAAATACTATGTTACAACTGAAGAAACAGGTAGAGATATTGCAGATCTAAGCCTCTGTAATATTCCAGTAAGCACAAAACCTATTTGCAGGCTACAAGGAGGTAAATTCATGCCCAGTGAAAACTTTTCAAGTAACAAAAGTTTACTGCCTTGCCATCAGGAAAATTTCCTTCCTTTATGATACCCGAACCACTACACGTCCTCTGGCGTCGCACTTAATCGATACACTGAACCTTCCCGTTCTTTCCTTTCCCCCCCGCACTTTTTTGTTCGAAACACGGCGTAGATGGGGAAGGACTCTGTACCACAGATGTGCGACCGATAAAGCGCGGCTCCCCAGATCCTATTCTTTTATTTTAGTTGAGCTAAAGCGGCGGTGGAAACCCTTTAACGCTTGCACAGCAGATCTCCCCCCCCCCCCCCCCCCCAACACACACTCCACCCCCCCCACCCCCTTTCCCCCGAAGTCATCTGCAACTGATTTCTGCCCGTGGCAATATTCTCATCCTCGCGGCCATCAATCACCCAGGGGGGAGAAGGGAGAAAGAGGAAAATCTGGTGCTGATCAGCGGCGGGGAAAAAGAAACAGGTCCGCTCCGTTTTGAGCGGACACACACACACACGCACACACACACACACACAAAGCCAAGGGGTACTCACCACCCAGGCGCCGGCGGGCACATCCCCTGGGCTCCGGGGCCGCGGTCAGAGCCCCGCCGTGCCCGGCGGCTGCCGCATCCCCGGCGGCGCGGCCCTGGGCGGGCGGGACCTGCCGCCTCCTCCCCCCGGTGCCGGGCTCCGGGCGGTGCCGCCGGCCCCGCCGCTCGCGATTGCACAACCCGGGGGGGGGGGGGGGGGAACGGGATGAGAAGGAGGGGAAAGGAGGGAGGGAAAAAGGAGGGAGGGGAGCGGGGGGGTTGGGGGGGGGGGGGGGGGGAGCAGCGCAGCCCGCCCCGCTCCCACCCCCGGGGGGGACCGTCCCCGGTGGGGAGCTCGCCCACGGTGGGAGCCCCCGCCCAGTGCTAAGGGGTAACGGGGGGGTGGGGGGGGCTGGCAAGGCACGGCCCTAAAAACGCCGTGTCTGTAAAAGAAGAGCCGTGGCCGAAGGTAATTTCCCAGCGTTTTGCTCCTGCAGTGACATAAACAAAGTCTGGATTTGGCTCACGGAGCGCAAACAGCTCCTACTTAAGGATAATACTTGATAGTGCTCGGGGTAGAGTCCTAGCAGCAGTGAAGACCTCGGGAAAGTTCTCCTCCAACAGCAGAGAGGATGGTCTTCTCTTTTCTTTCTCCTTTCTTCTCTTTCCCTCCTCTTTTTCTCTCTTTCCCATTAAAAGATGAACAGCCAAACACAATCGCAGTGAAACACCGTTCGTCGCTATCTTTCAGTTACAATAATTGTTGGAGACCGGAAGGGCTCTGTTTCTGTAAAAGCGCAATTAATGTAATAGAGGCGTCCCCATTAAACACTGGCACGGCACTACCCAAATCAAAAGATACCCGCAAGGCTTGGATGGGCTTTTCTGGCTCCCGCTTGCGTGAGGATTTGCATCGAGATCAGAGAAGCAGGAAGAGGAGGAGATGGTAAGAAAGCAAGAGCTGTGCTGAGAGGTGTTGGTAGTGCCCTGGCAGTGGTCCTGGGGAGAAGCGAGGAAAGCAAGCTTTGGGGTTGGGTGTTAGGAGGCTGGAGGCTGCTGGCAAAGGAACGGTTCCCCATTGCTTGGGACAAGAGGATTTTGTAAACCAGATGGCAAAAACCTGCTTCCAGCACCACTTGCTTATCCTGCTAGATGCAACCTACCCGGTGCCAAACTGTGCTGGACTGCTCAGCTCCAAAAGGGCCAACAATAGACAAAGGAGCAGCCATTCACCACAACCACACACCCCACTGGGAGCCCAAACTCTAACCTCCCAACATTTTCACCCCCTGCTGATTTTTGGGCTTTTGACTAACCTCTACCTGCTCCTCATGGCCAGCACGACCAGCAGTGAGCTCCTGCACAGGAGGCTGTTTTATTCTGAATAATATGAGTGAAAGATGAGAGAGCAGAGGCTTGGAAGCGAGTTCTCAGCTCTGTGGATAAACGAGGAAAAATAAGGTGTAGGCAAGACCAGCTACAAAGCAACAGCCCGTGGGCATTACGACGGAATTCACCCAAGTGTATCGGGTCCACGGCTCAGTATTTTGATGGGTTTTGTGAGATCCTCGGCACTGGGGTGTGATTACTGAGTGGAGCACCAGGCTGCACGCAGAAACGTGAGCCAGCGTGCAGTTCATTCACTGCTTCCTACTGTTCATCCGTGTTCCAGTTCTGTAAACAGCTGGACAGCAGAAGAGGGAAACACAGCAGCCTGTAAATCTGGGGGAGGCATGAGGAGCAGAGTTCAGGTTTTCTGGTGTCAGAATAAAAAAAAAACCTCTGAAACAGGCAGAGGTGCTGTATGACAGAGCAGGCTGGCTGGGGGATGAAAGAAGCTGCCGAGAGGCTGTCAAAGCCCTGGGCCAACACTTTTCCCCTTCCTCTCTGGCAACGTGGTATCGCAGCCAGAACAAGGAGTGAAGACCTGGTGCCTGCAGATGTCATTTGGACAGACACTGGCTCAGGCACGGGGTAGAGGCAGCCGCTCGGGAGAGGAGGGAGGCAACACCGGCAGGAAAGGAGCCGTCCTCACCGGTCAGGCTCCTCACCCCTAGCCAGGGTCGCTGGCTTCAGCAGCATTTTTAGACTCTTGTTCCACATCACCCCCCTCCTTTGCCAGCTCCCGCTCCCCGCAGGCTCCGGGGAGCTTGCTGCCTGCCCCTAAAACACCCGTGCCAAACCACGCTCTTGTTTTCACGCCGAGCGGTGCGACACGTGGGTTAGTACAACTCTTCACTCTCACCCCCCGATGACAGCCCATTTCATCAGCCGGTTGTTTTCCACCGTAGATAGACACCATACGAAAACACAGGTGCACAGAGCCTTGCCCAAAATGTCCCCACACCCACCTCTGCCTTCCCCCTCAGCCCTTTCCCCTGCTGCTGGATCACCAAAGCTTTCAGGCGCTGAGGCACAGCAGAAACCTGCTCCCCGGGCTCCAGGAGCTTCCCTCCCTCACCCGCTGTTGCTGTTTTGGGCCTGCTGACAAACGCCCTCAGTGCCAGGGGCTCCCCACTTGTCAGGACAGGACTAGGAACTGTGGGCGTGAGAATTAAAAAGGGTGTATTTGTAAGTTAAAAATAAAACTATTCCTTTTATTTGTGTCTTAACGCAGATTCCAAGGCTCCCTGCCCATAGCTGGATGCTAGAAAACACACGTGGGGAAAGGCAGCTGGGAAAGGAGAGAGCGATTGTGAGTATCTGTGAAAGGCTGCAGGGAGCAACGAGGAGGGAATTGCCCTTCACAGATCCCCCCAGCTGGGCCCACGCTCCGTGGGCAGCTTGTGTTTTGTTCCCCGTCCCTGAGACACACTGCACAGGGTTCAAAGAAGGGCTCTCAAGGGTTTAACCCCCTGGCATGACCCACGAGGGACTGAGGTGTGGGTCTGCCATGGACTGCCCTGCCCCATCTCAGATCAGTCGATTCACTTCACCTCTCTGCATCTCATTTGCAAAAGGGTACAAAATTGCATCACAGCTCCCCGGAATAAAGATAACTCTTCATCAGGTCCCTTCTCTCACCCGCTGGGGTTGAGCTCCTGCTTCTTGGTTCCTAAATAAGCCCTAAGACATCTCCAAGGTATCAGCTCAGGACCTCGAATTGCTGTGTGTAAGGGCTTACGTGCCTGAGGTGAAGGGAGCACTACTCATGCCAGGAGATGGAAGCAAAGAAAAAAAAAAGCTGGGGGGTGATTTCCCGTCACCATCTCGAGTAGATGAGGGGACAGTGGTGGCAGGCAGGCTGTGAGGAGCGCATCCTCCCGCCGCTGCCGGTGTGCGACTCTCACATCTGTGCAGTTCCAGCACCCACGGGCAAGGATGGAGCAGTCCTTACAAATACCATTCTTTCTCTTGAAGATTCAACCGAAGCACGTGGGTACAGCAGCACTGCACCGCTCGTTCAAAGCACCAGGTCAGTCTACCCTGAGCACTGCATCTGGCTTAATAACAAACAGAGAGGGTAAGGAGAGGCTGGAGGGGCAGGTTTGGTCACGGAAGGAATTTGGAGCAGCAAACTCTATCAGGCCACAGCTTTAGGATAATAGATTTGAGCTCTGTGCTGAATCCCTTTGCCTAGGCAAGGCGGAAAGGCACAAGTCCTAGTGGTAATTGGGCTAGCTGCAAAGTCCAGCTTGCCTGGCCGCGCATAGAAAGAGATTTAGGGACGGACCTGGCTGGCAGGGCCTGTGCTCGGTAGTAAAGGAAAAGAATTTATCATAGAGCCCATTAGAAAACATCTGGGCTCAGCAAATGACCTGGAATGCGACTCGGCAGCGGGGCGCTCCTCTCTTCCCGAGTCCCGAGAATGCGAGCTCCCGCAGGGTAAGACTCGAGCCAGCTGTTTCCTCTAATCCCATCAGCCTTTCCTTCGACAGGGGTCCAAACGCTCGGCGAGCAGGAGGGAACGAGAAAGTCCCGTTCCCTCCCCTTGGTGATTGGGATTAGTGGTTTCTCTGTAGTGCCGTGCCAATGCATTTTGGGGCCCTGGGGCAGCGGTAAAAAAAATGTACCCCTCCCATCTCTGAGCAAGTCCAAGTGTGTTTAATCGCTTTATTTTCCACCTTGCCCAATCTCTCCCCACTCCCAGGCACTCTAGGCCTCTTTGTCCCTCCCTCCCTTGCTTCCCCAGAAACTCAGGTCATGCAAAATCCTTCTCCTATTCAGTTCACGTGTGCAGGGGCAGTTTCTATCAGGGAGGGCCGGGAAGAAGCAGTTGGGCTTCATTTGCAGGTGCCCTCTTCCCTACGAGTTCAAGCAGTTCTTTCCTTTCTACTTTAAAAATACCAGTTTCCTCTGACTCCATTACAACCGGCTAAATCCCTGCTGATAACCATCTTATTTTTTTGCTGCACAACTTCCCCCTGCTGCAATCGCTCAGAAACTCTTATTATATTAATTATTTTTCTTGCAGCACTAGCCAAGCTCAGGGTCTCGTCACAATAGGTGATTGTATGTGTTTAGAGACAGCTCTGGCACTGAAGCGCCTACAAACTGTCAACCAGCAGTACAAACTTAGAACGTACACATGTGTGCAGGGAACATTTTGCACATTACCGAAAGGAAACCAGCACCCGCCTGAAACGGGGTGACTCAGCCCAGAGCAATATTGCACTGCTGTTGCATGGGAAGAGGCTCATGCACAAGCTCTCTGGCCTTTAAGAAAAGCACCCAAAATCAAATGTCTCAAAGTGCCAGTTTCTGAAGTCCTGCTACTGCAAGAGAGAGTCAGCATCTGTATAAATGAGGATAACCGAGAAAAAAAAATTCATATATGTATTCACTAACAGATTATAGCTCCTCTGCTCCCAGTCCCCCCACCTCATAGAAGACAAATGCAAATATAATCTTTAAGGTGATAACATGATTTTCATATTTTAGAGAGTGTGGTTCATCAAATCCTAGAAATGTGGGACCCTGCGAAATCTGCTTTCATTGCCTCCCTCTCCTCCTGCCCTGAAGCAGGATTGTGATTTCTGAGTTTGTGAAGCAGATAATACTGTTGCAGCTGGTGAGGAACTGACTGAAACTGGCCAGGAGTCTTAGCTTATCACTGCTTTCTTGAACGTGCTGAGACATCCGTGCTAGCACTGGACCAATTTTTCATCACTTTGTTTTTAATTTTGGTAACAGGAACTGCCTCAGTGGCTGCTCCGATGTATGACAAGAGTTAACATTAAAGCCTCAGTGAAGTAATTACGGGCTCATC